CACTAATCAAGGCCACATTATTAACGACATAAGATATTTAGCTGACACATTGTTAACAGCAGACAGAAAATGTAAACTACAAGAACGCCTACAGACATTAGCGATAGAAAGCGAGAAGAAAGGACTAAACACCAATTGCAAGAAGACTGAATGCACGGTTGTTAGCAAAGCAACAACCCAACAATCGACATTAAATCGGAAGACACATTGCAATAACAAAATATGTCTTCCGGAATTAAACAAAGTATTAAAAAACAAAAAGAAAATCGGTAAAATAACAAAGAAAATAATACTGAACAATATTTGTCCACTTCTGATGAAGAAACTACTCAGTGACTGATGAAGAAACTACTCAGAAATGAGCAAGATACTTGAAGCAGCAGAAATGCGGTTGTACAGAATGATGCTGGGAATTCCTTGGACTGAATATGTGAGTACCGAAAAAGTTATAAGTAAAATGGAAACGAAAAGGATACTGTTATGGGACCTTACCCATAATAACATAATGGTCTATTCCATACGTAATAAATACTGCGCCTCAAGAGGAAGTAGAGAGTTCAGTTCAAAGTCGGACGACCGGCTGATCGGCTGATCGGTTAAAATCTCTACCTTCGGGCGGGGAGGAACCCGAACGAGGCTACACCGAAGGGCGGAGTCTCTTTCGGGGAGGTAAACCGAGCCTGAATTCGTTTTATACGGGTTCAAACCGGCCGAGCCCACGGGCTCCGGAGATCCCACGTTAAACCGGCCTCATGTCACATGATGCCCTCGTGTGGTGGGTGGGTGACTACATACCGTTCAGTTCGAAGTCGGAGACCGGCTGATCGGCTGATCGGTTGAACTCTCTGCCTTCGGACGGGAGGAACCCGGAACGAGGCTACACCGAAGGGCGGAGTCTCTTTAGGGAGGTAAACCGAGCTGAATTCGTTTATACGGGTTCAAGAGATTTTTGCCGAGCCCACGGGCTCGGAGATCCCACGTTAAACCGGTCTCATAAACCCTCGGCGAAGTCGGGAGACCGGCTGATCGGCTGATCGGTTGAACTCTCTGCCTTCGGACGGGAGGAACCCGAACGAGGCTACACCGAAGGGCGGAGTCTCTTTAGGGGAGGTAAACCGAGCCTGAATTCGTTTATACGGGTTCAAAGGGCATATTTTGGCCGAGCCCACGGGCTCGAGATCCCATCCTCATGTCACATGATGCCCTCGTGTGGTGGGTGGGTGACTACATACCGTTCAGTTCGAAGTCGGGAGACCGGCTGATCGGCTGATCGGTTGAACTCTCTGCCTTCGGACGGGGAGGAACCCGAACGAGGCTACACCGAAGGGCGGAGTCTCTTTAGGGGAGGTAAACCGAGCCTGAATTCGTTTATACGGGTTCAAAGGGCAAATTTTTGGCCGAGCCCACGGGCTCGGAGATCCCACGTTAAACCGGTCTCATGTCACATGATGCCCTCGTGTGGGTGGGTGGGTGACTAAATACCGTTCAGTTCGAAGTCGGGAGACCGGCTGATCGGCTGATCGGTTGAACTCTCTGCCTTCGGACGGGGAGGAACCCGAACGAGGCTACACCGAAGGGCGGAGTCTCTTTAGGGAGGAAACCGAGCCTGAATTCGTTTATATGGGTTCAAAGGGCATATTTTTGGCCGAGCCCACGGGCTCGGAGATCCCACCTCATGTCACATGATGCCCTCGTGTGTGGTGGGGGTGACTACATACCGTTCAGTTCGAAGTTGGGAGACCGGCTGATCGGCTGATCGGTTGAACTCTCTGCCTTCGGACGGGAGGAACCCGAACGAGGCTACGGCGAAGGGCGGAGTCTCTTTCCGGGGAGGTATCCCACTGAACCCGTTTATACGGGGTTCAAAGGATCCGAGCCCACGGGCTCGGAATCCCACGGCCTTGAGATCCCACGTTAAACCGGCCTGCATGGTGCCCTCGTGGGGGGTGACTAAATACTGTTCCGTCTGAAGTCAGAGTTTCGTCTGAAGTCTGAAGTTCTGTCTGAAGTCTAGAGTTCAGTCTGAAGTCTGGAGTGAAGACCGCCAGGAGTCTGTCAGTCAGTCAGAGCGAGCGAGTCAGTCAGTCGAGTCAGAGGCAGTCCGAAACAGAGTCGCGTTCAGACAATTACTACTAAACCTGATTGTTCGTACTAACACTTTTTTCTCTGTATATATTCCTGTATGTAATATATCTGTGTTATTCCATATCCGTGTTCGAGTTCTTCTTTATTGGTTCTACTTTAGATTATCACCGTGGTACATGGAACCGGACGATAACAGATACTTATACTCAACATCCTAAACAAGTAAAATTCCCAGGGCACATAATGAGGAAAGAGTTCTTGGGGAGATTGATGACAAGAGGAACAGAGAAATGAACACATAACCGACCTAGAGAGCTTGATAGATGGGTATCGAAACGAGGTTTAGGAACGATAGCAAAAAGACAAAATTTATTAAGAGCTACAAAAAGCAGGAAATTGTGGAGGTCTATGACCGCCTATATCTTGAAGGGATACGTCACATAGAATAAGAATCTCATTAAACGATGCAGTTACTTCTTCTTACATGAACATAAAATAAAAACCTCTCGCCAAAGAATTATGATAATCGCGATCATCTGCACACTTGTTGCATCATATTAGACTAAACTTAACTTAAATATAAATGAAGATACAGGCACGTACATGAGGACACCGTTTAGTCCATTATTAGCTCTTGAGAACAAGCGTCATGATTTGGATGGCAATACTGATTCAAAACTCATTTATACTCCCAGCTCCTTTCATATTGTACACAAGAGAGATTGGGAACGGCCGCGCGCCATTTCCCGGACAAGCCTTATTCCTGTAACCATTGTCGGTACAAGACGCAAATGAATGAAGATATCAACATAAAGAGCACATACTGAAAATCAGGAAAAGACAGATGAACTTCCTTAAACCCATAATGAGGAACAGGTATATATTGTGGAGCTTGTGTGAATGCATGGTAGAAGTGTGTCAGGAGCCTTAGCAAAAGAAGAAAAGACTCCTTCCAGGAGGAAGTTTTGGTGAGCCATAATCGGCTGAAGGGACGCATCACATAGAAGAAGCAGAGAAAGAAGAGTAGAAGAAGGAGAATGGGGAAGAAGACGATGAAGAAGACGAAGAAGATAACAAATACGCAATGTATTTGAATCCACCTATGATGTAGTACATTGTTGCAAACGACTTCAGTTATGCGACACTTGTCAAATTTTAGCATATTAATTCCTCTTTCAGCCCTATCGAAATCATTAAGATATGTGTTTCCAGTCAAGAACAGAAAATGAAAACGTTTCCAATGCTTGTAGGAATAAATTCCTTACACAAGAATCATCATCTTGAAAATGAACTGTTGAACAGGAGGAACCATATGTGTTTATCAGCGAATCCCAGATGATCACCTTATATGATAAATAATATTTTCACATGATCTCTTAAGGTCCTGGGTATTTTCGTTAATGAAAGCTACTTCATACAGCCTTATTTCATCCCGCGAAACTTCACGATCAATGTCAGCGCCTAAATCGAGGTACAAAACGCGGAGTTTAAGCCCTGAATTGAGGTGGTAGCTGATATATTTCGATATACATAAGTGTTTTTGAAGGACTTTCTATTGTACGGTCGAAAAATTCTCATTACCTTCATGATACTATTTGTAATAAACTTATTTCTAAGAACGGCTACTTTGTGGAACAGATTCATCATATTATGTTATTGTGTTTATTACAATACTTATCCTTACAAGTCACGGTCCAACCGTTATTTATCCTACATACCCTCACAATTTGAACTTACTCTTAATACAGCTTCATTCTAAAATTTAAGTCGCTCTTGGTTTTTGTATTTAGTCAAGAAAACGGGCATGCCTTTATTAACTATTTTTTTCTAATCAATTCACCAAAGCAAGGCGATAATGCCACTAAGTCACATGGAGCTACTAAGAGTGAAAGAGAATAAGAACGGAATATGCAATCCTAAACAATAAGAAAGAGATAAACCTCTATTCCTGTTTAAAAGAGTGGAGGAGTGTAAACCGGACGACAGGCGAACTCAACTGCTCCTATTGAGGAAAATAAGTAAATAAATACTAAATAAAAGTTCAGAGTTTAGGCGGAGACGTTAGAACTACAGTGTTGAAGTAGAATTTAGAAGAAACCAGAAACCCAATCCTAAAAATGAAACAATTGACACACCCTACCGTCATTCAAAAGAGTGAGAAGACAATATATAAGCGTTTTTTTTTTGCTTTTTTTTACGTATTACATTAGGAAATTTTTGTTAGACATTTCTACATTCAGTAGATATCTGCCTATTTCTATATATAAACGTAAAAGAGAATTTCCATATAGGGACAATTATGAAGCTACTATTTTATGCATATTAAGTTTTATTCTTTTTTTCTCTTTCATTAAAGCATTCGTTTCCCATAAATGCGAAAAAAAAGTTCCTTTTTCAATGAATTCCTTCCATCACTTACGCCCAATTTCAGCCTACTGATATGAAATGTCGCCTTTCATTTAAATTTAAAGAAATGAATTTTCTTCGACGCCATTTTTGATCAGCGTGTCTACTAAAATAAAGGCAGGTTATTCCGTATTGTCTTTGAACTGAAAGGATAACATTGTCTTTGAGGAATAACGGAAATCCTCCGAGATTTTCAATGCAAATTTGATTTTAAAGGATTGAATAAGATCCAGTTCCCTGGTGAATTCATAGAAAATTGGAACTTGCAGCTGTGTTGAGAAAAGCCGATTTAAACAAATGGCTTTCACGCTTTCAGTTTCTTTCTTGTGCAACATCACTCAGAAAAGCGCGCTTACTCGGGCAAATTAATATCTAATACACACATATACGAAATATATATTTATATATGTACTAGCTATCTAGTTTGACGTTATTTTAAAGCGGAGGGCCCAAATGCAGCCTTTGACCGATTATAGAAATAAGTATGAATTACCATAATTTGGCTTATGACTAGATCACGTTGAAACACCGGTTCTCGTATGATCACCGAAGTTAAGCAAGATCGAGCCTGTTCAGTATCTAAACGGGTAAGCGCTTGAGAATACCAGGGGATCTAAGCTTGGATATACGTGTAATATATAACAGCTCAGAAATGAGTTCGTTATATTCAATTACGTGCATGTACCTTGAGAAGGCGTGAATTGGCCTCTTCTCGCCCCAGCTATCGGTTAATTAGTAAGACTTGTATCACTAAATCATTATTATCTCCAAAAACTTCTGAATATCTAAAAATATTTTCTAGCTTTAAATAACCTGCAAAAGGTTGATAAACCATAGAAAACTAATCTATTAAAGCAATTAGTTACTGTATTTTCTTCGTTAAAATACGACTTAGGCATAATCCGATCCGATGTTTCTGAAGCTGAAAACTGGGAATACATTATATTTTTGCGTATTATACGACAACATGTTACAGCTATCATTATGTAAGTTTTTTTTTGGTTTTTTTTGGTTTGTACCATATTATCTATTAGAATCTGTGGTGTACATACATTTCAAAAAATATTTTTTTACGATATTAATGTAGGTACTTTCACTAATTCGGCATAAATTTTCGATAATTAAGATTTAAAATGAATTTTAAAAATGAAAAAAAAACATTCTTGAGGGTTTCATTTTAGATTTAATTGAAAGCTAAATGATTACATTTACTATTTCCAGTAAGTAAAATATTCTGGTAGATTTCAAATAAAAATTTTATAGATCGGAATCTCAATTTTTTGGCCGATTTAAGAAATTTTTCTTAAAAGCCGCCATTTTCTTAATTTTAAGCATTTTCTACACAAAACAAATTTATCGGATATAAAAATCTTCCAAAAATAAAATATATACTTGTGGCACGTTATCTGTGTAAACTTAGCAAATTTGAAGTTAAATTAATCTGATTTGAAATAAATATTACTTATAGCATAAAAAGTAATGTACAAGCATTTGTCAAAACGGGTCCTGATTTTCTTTGATCTTTATTGACGTACGAATACGTTCTGAGGTGATGGTATGGATGACCAGAATTGACATAAAGTTACGAAATCTAAGTGAACGTATTTTTTCGTTTTTAACTACCTAGTAATTTTCAGCAATTATCTAATATTGTATTGACTTTTAGTTATGCTAGAAGATATTTTATGAAAAGTAGAAAAAATTTAAAGTGCCATAAAATTTTCTTAAATTAATTTTAACATTTAATAACAGATGAAATTAAAATAAAATAAGTAAGCAACAAAATTAACACATTGATCTGGAATTTTTTTAATAATTATAATATTGTCTAATTATTAATAGTTAATAATTTTTAATTAACATTAGCTAAAAACATTTTTTTTTATTTTTTGCAGTCCAAATAACTGATCATTTTATAATAATGTCACATTTAAGCTACCATAGATGGAAAAATGAAAAAATTAGTGAAAAATAAAATATAAAAATTATTTTAAAAATAGCATCGTAAAATGACGTTTATTAATTTTTTCAATTTTGAAATTGAAAATTTCGTTTCCACTTAATTACAATATCACATGCAAGAAATAATCCAATACAGAATTGTAAACGATTTTTAAACTATTATAAATTCATCGACAAATTTTTATTTCTTCAGGTAATAGTGTCATTAATATAACTTATTTACAAAAACAATTAAAAACTTTTCTAATTAAATAATGTCATAGATTGGGTTTATTTTTTAGTTTAATATTCGGAGCATATTTTCAGTTAGAATAGTAAAAAAAAAAGAATTAGATGATTTACATGTTCCAAGGAGTCCTACTTTTAACTACTAAAAAAATTCAGAAAATAGATAGGTATTTTGCGAAATTTCATGAAATTAAGTAAGTAGTTGGGTAACATATGTAAAAAAAAAATATTTTTTAGAAAAAGTTTCTAAAACAAAAAATTCAAAACAAATTTCATTCATTTGTGAATAAGTCCTGAAAGTTTCATTAAAATCCGACATTTATTTGATTTTTGCAAGAATTTCAAATTAATGAATTTACATTTTCAAATTTCCAACATGCTAGAAAGGATTAAATTTTTTTTTTTTAAATAATCAAAAAATACTTTAGTCTTTCATGTTAATAATAACATAATCATTTTGATGATAAAAGTTTGTTTTTATTAATTTTGTGGCTATTTTTTCATTATGCTATGATGTTTCCCTGTGAAAAAGTGGAGGTACCTATATTAAAGAATATAAAGTACCGGATGTTTAGCTAATGCGTGTTTCTTCACCTAATTTCCATTTCAAAATTCACTTTGAAATTTTCGGGGAAATTACTAGGTAATACATTTTGAGGTGTTAATCTATCATACTTTTCTGTTTGATATGATTTTATTATATTTTTATATATTAATAAACTATGAAAAGCACGGTCTCCCATTAAGAATTGAAGAGAGAAACAAATATAGCCGACATCATCACCGATGTATGCATGTCACGATGAATGGATGTCTCTTCACCGTGCCTTGAGAGACTATTGGGCCTTAAACTCATAAATGATCTCAAGTGGTACTCGTACATATGTCCCATTGCTAAAGATGCAGGTAAAGTGGTAGAATCCATGTACCGCTCCAGTATATACTTGACTCCACGCGCTATACTCTATTTTTACAAGAGCCAGATCAGGCCGAAATTGGAATACTGCTGTCATATTTGGGCGTTGGCTGCTCGTTCCTCTCTAGTCTCGATAAAGTTCAAAAGCATCACTGAATCCTTCATGATGACGACTATTTTTTCCACCCTCCAACCTCTCTCTGCTCTATGGCTACGTCCATGGAAAGAGATTGAACTTACTACATTCCTTGTTTCTGTCAGTCCTAAACTTCATCGGATGCCACTTACATTGTAACAAACCACCAACATTCCTTCCATAATCAATCGGTTAGAAGTAAACTATTTATATTATTCAGACTATTGTCCTCATCTTTGTCGCCATATTTATTACAACGTTTCGGCCGTTGTACGCTCCGGCCTTCTTCAGGGGGTTGGAATGTCGAACTGAAGCCTTATTTTGCTCTCTGGGGTAGACTGAGTAAAAATTTCTGAAAACCTGTACTGATGTATAATACGATCCGCCGTTTTTGCTTTTACTTTTTTTCAAAATTTTCCGCATTATACAAAGAAATTACTATATATCTGAATTATACTTTATTTGAATATCATGAACTCTTGTGTGATATTTACGTATATAGGTGGATTTCAAAATAATTTTTCGACTAACGACATTTTTCAAAAGCATTTGTCTGTCCTTGTATGTCATTTATATGTCCCCTTTTATTTCAGCAATAGGCATATGACTTGAAGCACTCAGTGTTTCATGTAATGAAATTAATGTTTGTATTCAGCTCCGATGACCAATACTCTTACTATATGTTAAGGGGTCCACCCCTTTTTATACAAGTGGACTCGCTCAGTGTGTACTTGTACTGCTGCCGGTGAATACCCGGGAGTGACGTAGGAAGTGATTGGAGTAACAGAGATACACTGGTAGAGTAATAGCGAGAGTAAGAGTGTGAGGTAACAGCTTTGTAGGAGTCACAGTTGCGAGCACGTAGACTCAGAAGGAAGTCATACTTCGATACTGAATTTCTTAGACTGTATATATATTATTATTGCTACTAACCGCATTTCTGGAGCTACTAACCGTATTACCAATTGTATTATTACGTCAATTCATTTATTTGCTATATTTCATTCCTGCGTTTGTCATTCATTTGAGACCGGATTTCATCCCGGAATCCAGAACACTATATATGTTAAGAGAATATTAATTTACAATCATGATTTTTGGATGAACGGAAAAGTCTTCAGTTAAAAATTTCATCGGGAATCGTCATAAAATTTGGCCTTGGAGATTTTTTAGCTAGCTTTCAGATTTATACGGTTAAACAAATATACAAATTATTTATACGGTTAAACAGAGACATAGTTTATTCTTTATACGGTTAAACAAACAATTTCTTCATGCGATTACGGAAAGATACAACTACTATTTTTTACGGTTAAACAAATTTACCACTTCTTTATACGGTTAAAGAAACAACTATTTTATGTGGTTAAACAAAAATATAACTAATATTTTTTTTACTGTTAAACAAAGATACAACTACTTCTTTATAAGGTTAAACAATTATACAGTTTCTTCTTGATACGGTTAAACAAAGACAAATTTTTACTTTCTACGCTTAACGTTTTGTGGTTTTATGATTAAACAAATACAAATATTTTTAATTAATGCGCTATAACGAAATCAATATTAATATTCTAGAGGTTTAAATATAAAAATCTGTACTTTCTATACTTGAGCAAAGAGAAATCTTCTCTAATGTGTCCGTTTATTTTGTTTTACGGCATATCAACATCTCGATGAGTTATTTAATACCGAGGAGTATAGGTTCGTATGAATAGAATATATATTCTTTGTAAGAAATCAATTTGGAGATCAGGTTTCATTGACATATTTTTGTAAAGAAGGTCTTTTTTACCAAGATTCAAATACATTGCTGGTATTTTTTTTTTCAAAAATGTATTGCTGGTATTTTTACTATAAAAATTTATTTATACTTTCATAGTCTGTCTATATTTCTGAGATGAGGTATTATGTACAGTATTTACATTAGTCGGACTATTGTCCTCATCTTTGTCGCCATATTTGTCACAACGTTTCGGCCGGAGTGTACAACGGCCGAAACGTTGTGACAAATATGGCGACAAAGATGAGGACAATAGTCCGACTAATGTAAATACTGTACTTTCATAGTATTTTGATCCAACATTGGGGGCTACCTATTTTCCCATATCTAGGACCCTAATAGGTGCTACCACCTCGGGTCAGGGTGGACCTGGGAACACCAGCAATTAAGATGCAATTCCATGCTCCTCAAAACACTCTGATCGAAGGCCTAGATGCCGGATTTAGATTACCGACATACCAAAGATAATCTAATGTGTAAAGGGTCAGCGTATATTTCTCACTTCATAAAGGTAAAGATAAATATTGCTACTTTATCCGACGAGAGAAAAAGCTAAAAACTTATGCTTTATACGGATAAAGAAAAG